ATGACGTGCGCTGAGCAGCAAGCGGCGCCCGCGCGGCGGCGGTCCTGTGAGCTGTCGCTGCTGCGCTGCGTGGTGCGTGGTGCAGCTAGGCAGCAGCTGATTCCGCACAGCCTCACCGCCACATCCCACTCGAACGCGCCGAAAGTACGTCGCGCACGCGACGCACGGCTTTTTGCGGACACATATAAGATTCAAAGTGGTTGACAGACTGCTCTGCAAACTGCACTCACACTCACGGATACTCTCAGCATAACCACTTCCTGTCGATTTCGTCTGGAGCGTCCAATCCGCAGGCTTCACGCCCGAAACTCGCAAGCTCTCGCTTGTATATCCGCTCCCCCGACTGCTTCCCTGGCGGCTCAGCTCACGAATCGAGCTCGGTGAACTCAGTCATCGGTCAGCCCTTTAGCTTGGCCACTCGAGCATCAAGCATCCTCATCTCAGCTCCAGCAGACATTATCAAGATGTCTTCATTCATGCAGAAGGCTCGGGAGCGTGCCATGGAGGCTGCTGCCAAAGCTCAAGATGCTGCTTCGTCCTTCAGTGGGGCCCACGGCAGCCCCAATGCCAGTCAAGCAAGCGGGCACGGCAGCAACAGCACCAACAACAACAGCGGGTGAGTGGCTGGTGAGAGTCGTTCGCATGCTCGAATCATGTGGCACTGATCAGGATCGCCTCACATCTATGCACCCATCTCCAGCGTGGGAGGCTACACTGGTGCGCTCCCGCACGTCCTACGACAAGGTGTGGCGCAGTTCTATCCACGCAGCGAGTTTGACTCTCGCAGCTCGCACGTCCTCAGCTCTGCGCTCAAGAGCGTTTCGATCGATCACGAGGCTCTTGCCAGAGAGACAAAGACGGCTGCCAAGTCTGCTTACCTATGGGGTCAAGATCAAGATCCGTACAAGCGCGAAGACGGCGCAGGAGATGCCGCCCTTGTCGACGTGTGAGTAGGCCTTGCTTCTTCCCTTGGCATACCGGTGCTGATCGTAACAAGGCTGCTCATTACGACAGTATGGACCGCCTTGCTTTCCTTTTGACCACTGTAGGTGATCTCGAGACCGCCCACGTCTCGCAGCTCGAAGCAGCCAGGTCCACTTTTAAACGCGTTGTCAAGGCAGAAGCTGACCTGGCAAGCAAGCGCGAACGTCGCGTCAAGATTCAGCGAGAGCTTGCGACGCTCATGCCTGAGCAGGCAAAGGGCAACAGAGAGCGAATCGGGCCTCTTGAAGCAAAATTGAAGGAATTTGAGCAGGAGGATAGAGAGGCGGAAGAGGAGCTCGGTCGGCTCAAGCGCGAGAGCATTCGCGACTCCTTCGAGACCCACTTTGACGCCTTGGCAGTGCTCGGAGAAAAGGTGCGTCCAATGCCAAGTCTCGAATGCCTTCCTTCCGCTTGTCATTCTAAAAGCTTATTGTGGAATCTTTTCCTCTCGGGTATGCAGCTTTCCATCGTGGCTCGTCATGGCAAGCTTTTGACCCACCAGCTGCCAGTGTATGCTCCCCCTTTTCCAGCTCCACGGGTCAAGGCTGGACCCAATGAACCCCTTTGGCCTGGAGCCTCTCGCACCGCTGCTATACGTGCAGCGGTTGGACCTGCTCTTGCTGCGTACCACCCCGCTGCACAGCTTCCCGAACTGGATCTTCCCGCTGAAGGTGGACCAGTGAAAGCTTCTTTGAGCCGCAAAGATACGGAGAGTTACGGTGTCAGTCATGCGGCAGAGCTGTCTGATCAGCACATCGGTTCGAGTGCATCGTCGCCACCACAGGCAGGAGGCGGGGACCTGCAGCGCATCGAGTCGAGCTCTTCCGTCACCGGTCAGAACCACGCTGCTTCTGGATTCCCTCTTTCGCCGCCCCAAGGGTCACCGAACGAGCTGCTTTCGAACATAAACAACGCGCCAGCAAATTTGCCTTCCTCTCCGCCAATTGGAGCACACACTCAGCCGCAGCGTCATCGGGTTCCGCCCATTCCTTCTCCCACTGCACGACCTGCGGATGCATCTAACCTCCCTCCAGCGCCGAGTCATGAGACCGACGTCAAGGGAGACTTGGCCACGGGGCCCATCGTCGCAGAGACTGGACAGCCAATCGTGGGCCCAGGTGGTCCTTCGAGCGGACAGCTGAGCCCTCGCGTACCACGAAAGCCTTCTGTCACTGCTCACGCAGCTACGGCGTCCGGCAATGCTCCTTCGGTCCCGACCGCAGATTCGACGGCCGCTGCTGCATCCAGCTCTTCGCCTCTGTCTGCCCAACCTGCCTCTTACTATGAGACCACATCTGATGCTAGGGCGCGCAAAGAAGCGGAAGCTGCAAGAGAGAGGAAAGAGGCTGAAGCGAGAGCTGAGCAGGAACAGGTTCGACAGCACGTCGTCTCGGCTCGTTTGAGACGCGATGGGACCATTGTGAGGCGCGGAGAACAGGGTTTTGCAGAGGCGGAAGAGGAGAACTTGCCTCCTTATCACGAGTAAAGACCACGAGTACGACAAACGGCGGATCGCGCGCCCTCGCATAGACGGAGCACCTGTAAATGATTGCGATACTTCGCACCGCGAACACTGTTTATGCATGTTGTCGAATCATCGATTTTCTTGTCACACGTCAAAGACGTCAGGCACTGGTCTCCATCGGCACAGCAGCTGCGGCGGTGCTGCCTTCTTCGAAGTCGACGTCGCCCATAAACTCTCGAGCGTGCTCTTCCAGGTATGTTGTCGATCGTCTTTCGTCGATGAAGAGCGAGTACACTCTGCGTACGTCTGTAACTTCCACTCGAGCAGCTTTACGTCTGCGAGCTGTACGACGGCGCATTGTGCAAGGTCAGCAGTGTTGATCGAAAGGAAAGGGGGTGGAAGACTTGCGTATAGAGCGCGAATCTAGGCTCACCTGCCAAGCTGGCGGTCGTGATGAGGAGCTGTGCGTACCTCAGGCTAGTCTCTCCCCCGATCCTCGTAAGCACCGCCAAAGCTTCCTGCTCCAGGTCGACATCCTCTTCGCTCGCTCTAATATTCAGAATCTCCTTGATCTCTTCAGCAGAGTAAGGCTTGGTCTGAATGATCAGGGCGCGATCCAGCAGGTCGATGGGCACTCCGTGGGGACTGCGATAACGAGTGCCACGAACTCGTGTCAGGCCGCGGTTAGAGGCCATGATGACCAGAGGGGCGAGGTCCGATTCGAGAGCCCTGTTGAGGAAAGAGAAGCATTCGACGTCGAGCATGTGAATCTCGTCGATGAACAGCACCTGCAAGGAAATGCACAAGCAATATCGGCCATTCAGCATCGCCAAATTCTGTCTCAGTCTCGTGCCAGCGACGTTCACACTCACACCTGGAACGATGTCAGCCTTGCCCTCTTCACGCCACTCGCCGACTTTGACGTTGATCTGATCGCGAAGCTCGGGCTTGATCTCTCCAGTGTCACCAGCAAATAGCGCCAGGAAGCCTTGAGTTCGAGAGTTGATGACGTCGATCTCGTGCAGGCTGACTGTGTGCACCACATCTTTGCGCCTCTGCAGTTCTCCTTCTGGGCATTGCACGAAGCGCGTCTGCAGAGCGCGGTGCGGATGAGCGCATGCGATCAGAGCGAAGAAGACAAGAGGCCGAGAAGGGAGTCCGAGCAGGCGAAACTCACATCTGAACCCATGGCGTCGTACTCTCGCGCACGTGTAAAGCTCCTGCCTAGCTTGGTGATTCGTCCGCTCGCCTTGTCGATAGCAATCACATCTCCTGCAGACACCTTTTCTCGCTGCAGCGAGTCGATCATCTTCTGACCTAGATCGTACACCGTCTCCATATCCGTCGTCTTGACTGTCAGCTTGCCCGTCTTGGTTGCCTGCACGAGGCGAAAGAAAGGCGACCGATGACTTTCAGCTTGTGCAAAATCGCGATGGCAGCACCGCTTCGATTGCTCACGCCAGTCAAGCTCCTGTCCACGATGATCTCTACCACCTCACCCTCGACCACCTCCTTTTCCTCCTTGATGCGTACCCCAATGGCCCGTCTAAAAGCTTGTGTGAGCGCTTCGGTCTTGGACATCTCGAGGGAAAAGACCTCCGATGCACTCAGAGACACGAATGGCAAGTCTTCCGACAACTCGCGCGAAACCCCTAATGATCGTGGGAATTGCCATTTGCAGGTCATGTGATTCAAGTGTCGTATGCTTCAGCAATTGAAAACGCACCAGCAAGACGATTAGATGACAGACTCACCCATAGCGATGGCCGTCTTTCCCGTGCCCGGAGGACCAGCAAGTATAACGGCTCTACCAGCGATGCGCCCATCATTGACCAGCTTGACGACCACTCCCGCAGCTCTCCTAGCAGCGGATTGCCCCACCAGTCCCTGCGCAGAAGGTTTGGGCTGCAGCTGATCGTCCAGGCCCAACCCTCGAATATGACTGTGCGCCCCGATGCGCTCCAATGCTTGCGTGCTTGTGCCCGTGGGCGCTGTGATGGGCGCGATGGATGCCATGGTGGTAGAGCCGGCTAGACACCTTTTGCGTATCCGCCTAACCGGTCGAGGGCTAGTCCTGCGAGCCGGCCGAAGGTCGCAAGATG